TGAAATTTAGGTTGCTGGGAGAAATATCAATAACCACAGATATGCAGATGACACCACCCTCATGGCAGAAAGCCAAGAGGAACTAGAGAGCCTCTTGATGAAGAGGAAAGAGGAGAGTGAAAAAGCTGGCTTAAAACTCAACATTCAAAAGGTAAGATCATGGCATCTGGTCCCATCACTTCATGGCAAATAAATGAGGAAACAATGGAAACAGTGACAGGCTTTATTTTCTTGGGCTCCAAAATCACTGCAGATGGTGACTGCAGCCATGAAGTTTAAAGACACTTGCTCCTTGGGAAAAAATCTATAACAAACCTACATGGCATATAAAAAGCAAAAAAGCTATGACAAACCTATACAGCATATAAAAATCTGAGACATTACTTTCCCAACAAAGATCCATATAGTCAAAGCTATGGTTTTTCCAGTAGTTATGGATAGATGTGAGAGTTGGATCATAAAGAAGGTTGAGTGCTGAAGAATTGATGCTTTTGAACTGTGGTGTTGGAGAAGACTCTTGAGAGTCCCTTGGACTGCAAGGAGATCAAACCAATCAATCCTAAAGGAAATCAGTCCTGAATATTCATTGGAAGGACTGATGATGAAGCTGAATCTCCAATACTTTGGCCCCCTGGTGGGAAGAGCTGACTTATTGGAAAATATTCTGATGGAAGCAAAGAGCCAACTCATTGGGAAAGACTCTGATACTGCAAAGATTGAAGGCAAGAGGGGAAGGGGACAACAGAGGACAAGATGGCTGGATGGCTTCACTGACTCAATGAACATGAGATTGAGCAAACTCCAGGAGATAGTGAAGCACAGGAAAGCCAGTGTACTGCCATCCACAGGATTGCAAAAAGTCGGACGAAGTGACTGAAAGACAACAACAAAGCAGGTGCTGGACCTTCTTTCAAGGTAAGCACTTCCCTCCACCTATGGGACACTGGGGAGTTGGCCCCATTCCAGCTGGAGTCACAGGAATATCTCTCCACCTCTCTAAGCCCCATCTGGTCCCTCTGCACAGAAGGTTAAAGGGAGATCGAGCTCTCAGGGTGAATGTGGGGACTAAGTGGGTCCTTCCTGGAAAGTTGGAAAGTGCTTTCTGGGGACCTGGCCCCATAGAAAAGTCTGCTGGTTGGACTGTGATTGTACTTAGTCATCATGTTCCTCCTCCCCTCAAGGAAGTCTCTGTCTCAGTTGTCTCTGGCCTTTAACCTTGGGCCAAACTGATTCCCATTTGCAAGGTGAGTTGTGAGAGGTGCCCTGTCCTGGGTGAGTGAGACCAGGGCTCCCTGGGAGTGATCAGTAGTGCCCCAGGCACTCAGATGGCGCTGGCTGGGCTCATTCATTCTTGAAATATACAGGAAGGCCCACAGGTGCAGGCACTTTTCTTGGAACAACCATCATGTAATACATTGAGCAGACAGCAGTCCTGCCCTCCAGGGCTTCAGTTCTCCCGGGGCGTGTCTCCAGTTCTGTCCATGTGAGGCCTTCCTGGCCTCCTCCAGGTATGGATGCATCCTCCCTTACTCTGATGATTACAGTGGACCCCTACACCAGCTGAAAATGTGAGTGGGACTTTGGTTCAAGAGGGAGGGACTCAGTTTTCCAAAGAACCACCAAGTGAGATGTGACATAGAGGAGAACTGGCCTCTGAACGGGCAGGAGCAGAAGGCAAAAAGTGCCAGACCCCACAGGTCTGGCCAGGAGCTCAGTGTGGAAGGAAGGCCAGGTCTCTGACTCTTCTGCCCACCTGACTCCCCCCAGGGCCATGTCCACCATCCTGGGCACCTAGCTGTACCATTAACCTGAGGGTTTCCACCAGCCCCCAGAGTTTCCCTGCCTGAGGATGCTACTGGCTTAAATAGAGCTCAGCATGCCTGACTAGGACTGGAGCACCAAACCCTACATCTCCCGGCACAGCTGGAGACCCTGGAGCCCACTGAGGCAGAGGGGGATGTGATGGGAGCAAATGAGGATGGGAGGGAGCTGAACCACACAGAGCAGAACCTTCTGAGGCTGGATCTGGGTCAGGAGCAATGAAGAAGCTCAAATCACTACTGCTCTTTACTGCAGTCTGGGAAGACTTTCTGGGGCTGGCATCTTTGAGAGACCATTGAGTGGCAGTGAGAAGCTTTCTTTTATGTTTTTGGGAGACACTTGGAAATGTGGTCCTACTGATATTTTCTCTCCTTGGAACTACAGCACCAGCTCCAGAACAACCTCTGGAAACATCTCCAGACCTGGAGCCAACTACACCTCTACTGCCCACCAGAGCTCCAGAGTTAGAGCAAGTCCATTTTTGGTTTGTTTTTTAATATATACTAAATTGTTTATGATATAAAGTTCACTTAAAGTTTAATAGTTTGATTATCTTAGATTGTACATGTAAATTACAATAAGTTCATTCACAATGTTACATAACCCTATTAAATGTCTATTTGAGAACATTTTCACTCTTTTCATTGCTAAATAATATTCCATTCAGGAACCAGCACATTTGGCTTTCATCTGCTGATGGACATTAGAGTTTTCACCTTTGGGCTCTTCTGAACAGTGGTGCTCTGAATACTTGTGTACAAGCATGTGAATATGTGTATTCACATGCTTTTGGGTATTGATGTAGGAGGGGAATTTGGGGATTCACTGAAAACTGTAGGCTTGTCCTTTTGAGAAACTGCTGAAGTGTTATATACAGTGGTTGTAACCATTTGACAGAGAAAGCACTGGTGACCCACTCCAGTACTCTTGCCTGGAAAATCCCATGGACTGAGAAGCCTGGTAGCCTGCAGTCCATGGGGTCGCTGAGAGTCAGACATGACTGAGCGACTTCACTTTCACTTTTCACTTTCATGCATTTGAGAAGGAAATGGCAACCTACCCCAGTGTTCTTGCCTGGAGAATCCCAGGGACGGGGGAGCCTGGCGGGCCCCCATCTATGGGGTCGCACAGAGTCAGACACGACTGATGCGACTTAGCAGCAGCAGCAGCAGTACCATTTGACAATCCCCAGAATTTAGGTGTATAATTTCCACTTCATTTGTATTGCAGTTTCCTTTCTTTCTGTCCTTCTCTCTTTCTGGTCCCTCACTCTAAGGAACAAGCCTGTATATTACAAGTTGCCATATGCAGAGGCATCTGCAGTTTAGCATTGAGACCATGACAGAGGAGCTCTTGGGTCCTGATTCAATGAGTTCACAGGCCTAGACCCCAGGGAGACACTGGCAGAGGCCTCCAGGTGAATTGTGGTCATTTCCTGGTCCACAGATAGTGTGAGATAATAAATGTTTGTTGCTTAAGTCACTCAAGATTGGCTAATGTTGTCACACAGAATGGACCACTCACACAGCCATCAAGCATTCAGGCCCTGGTCCCTCCATCCCTGCTGTCCCATACTGTCCTCCCAACCTCCCACCAGCCACACTAGCTTCCTCTGGCTTCATCTCTGGACAAACACATTCTGTGTGTCCATACACTTGTGCCTTCTTCTAGGATAATTATCCCCAGATGTGTGAATGGCTGGCACCTTCTCATTACCCTGCTGGGGACAGACATGTCCCCTCAGTGCAGCGCCTCATGACCACATTGTGGCACCTACTGTTTTTCTACATAGAACTTGCTTCCTTCTGTGTTTCTCCAGTTCCCCCTCCAGTCTGTGACCCTGGTGCTTCTTTTCATCACAGCCCCCACTGAATGCTCAGGGCACAGCTGGCAATTGAATAGATAAGAGGCTCCATTCCTCCACTGAGAAGCTCGGATGCTATTAGGAGGAGGTATAGGCCAGGTCAGGGGCAGGGCAATGTGTAGGAGTGCAAGGGACACTCTCCTCGCCCCAGTACTGGACACTTCACCCCTTTGATGGGAACCACTCATACTTCACACCAAGCAGGGAAACCAGAGCACAAACCACACCTCTGAGAGACTTCAGGACACCAACATTCCTTGGGCCCCAGGAGGGGATGTGACAGGATCCACAGGAACCAGGGGCTTTGAGAGGGACCTTGAAGAGACCCTCAACCTCCTCTTGTCCACTTCAGCCATGGGGTGTCTAATTCCCTTCTGAGGACTCCTCACCACAGCCAGTGAAGGTGTTCTGACCTTGATTCCATATGACGTCCAACAAGGTGGTCTTTGCCTTAGTCCAAGGAAAAATGATGCATGTTTCTCTCACTGTTGCCACTCCAAGGTCCACCTCTCCCCTGACTCCTCTCCCTATGGTCCCTTCCTCTGATGTCTATCAGTGTATGCTTGTGTGCACACACAGAGAATCTACTCCACATTGCCAAAATATCCTGGGGTCTTAGGACCTCTAATCCTATGGCAAAATATGTGCCAGGGAGACAGCCCTAGCCTAGAATATCCTAACTCTCCCTTCATCTCAAGACTTTGCCCCTGCCAAGGTTGATTAGTAGTAAAACACACACACACACACACACACACACTAAATAAAACTTCACAGGCTAAAACGTATTGACTGAATATTTATAGAATCAATATATAATTTTGGTACCTATTATCTGACTCAGTTGATCAAGTAGAAATTATTAAAGAAATCTTACAAAGACAGAATCTACAGTCATGAAATGATGATTAGGATAAGAAAACTTGACATTTATTTTTTTAAAAAAACTGATATCAAGTCAAACACGTTCAGGAAATGCAAAATAAGGATATTCCAGCCAGGAGTCCTGAGGCTGACAAACGCCCCTCCCCGCCCCCACCGGCCCTTGGAGCGAGTGCGCAGGAGTGAGTGGCTGCAGGTGGGAGTCCACAGGCGTGAGCGGCCACAGGTGCGAGGGCGGAGGCACAGGGTCGCCTGAGCTCCCAGGACCGTTTCTGAGGGAAGGGAAGTTGGAGACTGGGTTGGTCCCCATTGCCAAACGCCCGCAACCGGGGAGCAGCGCAGACGGGAGTAATTGCAGCTCTACCTGCAGCCCCTCACGGCGCGCCCCCGCCTGCCCAGCGACCAGCGGCCCCCGACTCCTCCAGCCTCGAGGAGCATGAGCCTCTCTCGGTCCTCGCTCCGGGGTCGCTGCCACCGGCCGCAGGGTGAGGACGCCGTGCCGGGGCCCCAAGTCGGTCGTGGAGCGGTGGGCGCCCTGTGCGCTCGCACCCCTACCTGCTTGGTGCCCCTCGACCGCAAGGGGCGGCCTCTGGTTCTGTGGGCGACGCCTGGACCAGGTCGCCGCTGGCTCGTGCGTTCGGGACACGGAGGTGCAGCCAAGGAGCCCGATGTTGGGGCCGCGGGGTGCACGTCGGGCGCGGTGGGTCGGCAGGTGTGAAGAGGTCTCTGCTCCCGGGTTGCGCGCGGGTGATGGGGGCGCACAGATAGGGGATCCTGTTCGCTGGCCACTGGCAACGGGTGTTCAGATGGGACTCCATGCTCTTTCCTAAAGCCTTCTGGAGGATCGGCTACAATAGGTTAAAGTTCCCTTTCAGCGTTTTCAGGCTTTATTGAGGGTCGCTGACTCTTAAGAGCGCTTCCTGGAGGGAAGTTTGTGACATACTAACATCTAAGCAAAGTTTGAAATAAAACGATTTCTGCCTTTTTGTTTTCGGGTATGGTGAACAGTTTTTCTTGATTACGTTAGGCTTTTCAACGACTTCTGGCGACTTTTGGTGAAGCTGCACTGCTCTTAAGTTAAATGGTGACGGTTTTGTCGCTAAGTCGTGTCCCAACTCTTGCGACCCCATGGACTGAAGCCCTTCAGGCTCCTCTGTCCGTGGGATGCTCCAGGCAGGAATACTTGAGTGGGTTGCCATTTGCTTCTCCAGGAGATCTTCTCGACCCAGGAATCTAACCCGAGTCTTTGGCATTGTAGGCAGATTCTTTACCAACTGAGCTGCTAGGGAAGCTCCTAAGTTAAATGAGCACTTTAAAAGTAATTCTTTGAGCAGTTACCATAGACGCTCAAATATTTGAGAATTCTAGTTATAGTAATGGGCATGGTTTTTTTGGTTTTTTGTTTGGTTTTTGGTCTTTGGTAATTTTTTGTTGTTGGTTGGCTGGTTTTGGGATTTTTGGATGTTTTGGGGTGTGGGGGTCGGGGTTAAGTTTGCATTAGGAAGAGATGATATGCAAATCAGGAGAAATGTTTATTTCATGGTATTCTGGTATGCAGTGTTGCAGTTTAAAGTATCTAATGCTGGTTAAATCTCAGATTGGCTCCAGCAAAAGGATATTTTTATTGAGAATAGTTTGGGTTTGTCCTGTGGGTTTTTTAGGTGTTTTTTTTTTTTTTTTAGTACAATCTGCTTATTTAGCATGCTTCAAATCATAATAGATTGTAGTTAACACTGGTGGTTTGTGCAAGGAACAATGCTTTGTAACACAGAGATGGGTTGTCTTTTTCTACAGAAATTTTTTCTTGAGTTAGTAGATTTCCATGTAAAACTCTCAGGAGTAACTTTTGCTGTAGCAGTTTGGTCTCTGTAATGAGGAATAAAGCATATCATTCCACTGTTGAAGATAATGGCATATATTATAAAGATAAGCATCTGGTACATAAAAGGAATTAGAGCTTTGAGTTTGGTGAATTAGTGTCCTCAGTGAAATGGCTTGTCTCTTCGAAGAGAAGAAGAGTGATAACCACATGGTGATAACCAGGGTTCTTTCCCTACACTGACCACCAAGAAGAAGAGGAGGAGACAGAGTGATTTTCAGAAGAATTGACGTTCATTTATCAACCACGTGCCCTCATTCCTTGCTATTTCTTAATTCCCAGAGAAATTAAAAACGTGGTTCCTAACCAGGATAGTTGAATGGGAAAGGTCCTTTCAGTTCCCAGGCAAGTAACTGAATCCATTGTATAAGCGTTCATCTGCCTGTACCTTGGAAGTAACAGTGAGAAAATCCTCTTCTCTAGTGGATGAAGTAGGCAGAATAGGAGGGTGGTGGAGCTTTTGGGGGCAAGTTTTCCAAAAGTTGGAGCAAAAGCGAATCACTGTCTTCAAAGGAACAGACTCATTAGATACCAGCATTTGGACATTAAGGTCTTTTGCAACATCATGTAGCTTGTTAGTAAAAATAATCCAGACCATAGAAAAATCCACGTTGTCAAATGCTTATTGGATGAAAAGTAGTGAAAGAAAAAGAACCTTCTGAAGATTTTTAATATCTGGTATTTGACCCAGATCAGTTGACTGAGTACAAATAAAGGTCAGTAAAGAAATCTTCCAGAGAGAGAATTTAGTCATTCAGCTGTGATGTGGACAAGAAACCTGCTATTTATTTGTTAAAAATTAATTCCAACTAAAATACTTTGTTAATTAGAAATAAATATGGATAAACTACAAGTAGTTTACTATGCTGTGTTTTCAAAGCAGGATCAAGGAATTAAAAGTTACTGAAGTTTTCCCTGGAAAGTACTTTCTCAACATTATTTTTCAAATATTGTAATTCTGATTGCAGTGTGTATGAATCTCAGAGTAAAAACTGTTGAGGAATTGATATTCTTTGAGGTCAAATGACTGATTCAGAAGAGCAGGGTTAAATTGGAGGGTAAAACTGTCAGTAATACAAATTGATGTATATCATTTTAAAATGTACTAGATTGAGGGCAATTTAGATTGATCATATAATTAGCATAATTGCGTGTATAATGGTTTATGCTAAATTACCACACAACTCCCCAAATTTCAGCAGCACAACACTATGTTTCCCACCTCACAGCACTGGGTGGGTATTCACTTTGGGGAGGCTGCACTCCTTCAGACGGTCACTCAGGAACCCAGACTCCTCCCATCCTATACCGTCTCCATTCCCTTAGACCTCATCCCCCTCTGCATCCATCAGCAGAAGAGGGCAAGAATATGGAGAAATGCATATGGAAGTTTATGATGAGCCAGCTCTCGAAGGATACAGGCCAGTTTCTCTGCTGCTGTTTTGGCCACAATTCATTTCTGTGGCCACAAAAGAGACCGGGAAATCTCCCAACTGTTCTCCCCAGGAAGGGAGAACAATTAAAGTTGTCAGCAGCTGTGAGTAATTCATTTCGATTTAATTAGTTTTCAAATCTTTTTTGGCTGTTTGCCATACACCAAGAGCTGTGCTAAGTGTGACCTGAGAATTGATTGAGCAGCATCTTGATCTTGGAGGAGTTCTGAATCCTCAGAAGAGAAGACAGAGTATGAAGTGTCTGCCATCCTAGAAGAAAGGGATTAAGAGAGCCTGCTTTGAAAGTTCAGGGAATGATTCTAGATTTGAAAGCTGCCTAGAAATGATAGGATTTGGACTCCACTTTGAGAGATGAAGAAGATATGATTGTGAAAGAAGCTGGCGTCAGGAGCTGTAGAAACAGGTCCTGCAATACAGGGTATCATAAAGAATATTATGTCATCATTGTTCAGTTGCTAAGTTGTGTCAGACTCTTTGTGACCCTGTGGACTGCAACACATCTGGTTCCTCTGTATTCCACTCCCTCCTGGAGTTTGCTCAAATATATGTCCATTGAGTCGGTGATGGTATCTGACTATCTCATCCTCTGCTGCCCCCAGCTCCTTTTGATTCCAGTCCTTCCCAGGATCACAGTCTTTTCCAATGGCTTTTCATATCAGATGACCAAAATATTGGAGTATAAGCATCAATCTTTCCAATGAATATTCAGGGTTACTTTCCTTTAGGTTTGAATGGTTGGATCTCCTTGCAGTACAAGGGATTCTCAAGAGTCTTCTCCAGCACCACAGTTCAAAAGCATCAGTTCTTTGGCACTCAGCTTTCTTTACAGTGCAACTCTCACATCCATATATGACTACTGGAAAACCATAGTTTTGACTATATGGACCTTTGTTGGCAAATTGATGTCTCTGCTCTTTCATGGGCTGTCGAGGTTTGTCAGAGCTTTCCTACCAAGGAGTAAGTGTCTTTTAATTTCCTGACTGCTGTCACCATCTTCAGTGATTTTGGAGCTCAAGAAAAGAAAATCTGTCACTGCTTCCACTTTTCCCCCTTCTGTTTGCCAGGAAGTAATGAGACTAGATGCCATAATCTTAGTTTTTTGAATGTTGAGTTTCAAGCCAGCTTTTTCATTCTCCTTTTTATCCGTATCAAGAGGCTCTTTAGTTCCTCTTCACTTTCTGCCATTAGAGTGGCATCACCTGTATTTCTGAGGTTGTTGATATTTTCCCAGCAACCTTGATTACAGCTTGTGATTCATCCAGCCTGGCATTTCACATGATGTACTCTGCATGGAAGTTAAATAAGCAGGGTGACAATATACAGCCTTGTCATACTCCTGTCCCAATTTGGAACCAGTCCTTTGTTCCATGTCTGATTCTAGCTGTTGTTTCTTGACCCACATACAGGTTTCTCAGGAGGCAGGTAAGGTGGTCTGATACTCTCATCTCTTTAAGAGTTTTCCACAGTTTTTGTGATCCACACAGTCAAAGGCTTTAGCATAGTCAATGAAGCAGTAGTAGGTGTTTTTCTGAAACTCCCTTGATTTTTCTATGATCCAATGATGTTGGCAAATTGATCTCTGGTTCTTAAGCCTCTTCAATACCCAGCTTGTACATCTGGAAGTTCCCAGTTCATGTACTGTTGAAGCCTGACTTGAAGGATTTTGAATCTAATCTTAGAGGAGTGAGTACAATTTTACAGTAGTTTGAACATTCTTTGGCATTGCCCTTCTTTTGAATTGAAATGAACACTGACCTTTTCCAGTCCTGTGGCCACAGGTGAGTTTTCCAAATTTGCTGATACATCGAGTGCAGCCCTTTAACAGCACTGTCTTTTAGGATTTTGATTAGCTCAACTGAACTTTCGCCACCTCCACTAGCTTTGTTTGTAGTATGCTTTCCTAAAGTCCACTTGACTTCACACTCCAGGATGTCTGGCTCTAGGTGAGTGCCTACACCATCGTTACCATGGTCATTAAGACTTTTTTCTATAGTTCTTCTGTGTATTCTTGCCACCTCTTCTTAATCTCTTCTGTTTCTATTACGTCTTTACATTTCTGTCTTTTATGGTGTTTTTATTGTGTCCATGTTTGCATGAAATGTTCACTAAAAACTCCAATTTTCTTAAATATTATGCAGCCATTAAATTCACATTTTCTAAAATTACAAATGGATGGAATAACTACACTCATATTAAGTGAAAAAGAGACCCATAAGGTAAGGTAATTCCATTTTTAGAATTCTGTGTAAATTTAGATGAAATCATACATATATGTTGAATGATAGTTTTGTAATTTTCAAACTGTTTTATTAATATAAACAGAAAAGTATCACAAATTGCTTTGATTTGATAGACTAATTTCTATCCACCGCACACAGAGCTGGG